TCAAAGGCAAATTCTCCTGAACTCCATTTCTGCTTTTAATGACATTATTCCATTAAATACTCAGACTTTTCTTTATGGATGTCAAAGACTCGATATCAATATGAACATAAGTATCTTGGAGATGGTTAAGAGATTCGTTAAAGATACAAGACGCTTTAACTAGATTACACTTACTTGTTTATCTCATGACTTTGCTGTATGGAATGATACCAGTACATAATTGTACTATGTGCTGTCCACCAGCATAATTCCAATTGCCATTTTTTGTAAAATCTAGTTTTTGTACACACCATTACCCCAAAAAATTAATAATGACATGCAGATATCAATATTCATGTACATAATATACATGTTCTATCATTACTTCAATTCAATATGATGTGTGTAAACTGTTTATAACTGTAAGGAGAGGGCGCTCATAGGCTTTGCCTGTTGCCCAATTCCTTTGTATCTAAGATCTGAACAATAAATATTCTGAAATGAAAAAATATTATATTACCCCTTTAAATAACAGTATTGTCACTTGAATACAGTATGGCCCCTTGATAACATTATGGTCTATTGAATACAGCATGACTATCAGGTGGGACGAGCTCCGGTTTGTGATTCAGGAAAAAGAACTCCAAAGAATTGATTACAATTTCAAAAAAATATTTACATTAATAATCAAAACCTAAACACGCTCACTTACTCACTAGCACTCACTCTTCATGTATTCATTACTGTATAAAAGTCTGTTGCACACATCCACGAAACTGGCCTCTAGGAAATACAGACAAAGTTCCGTAATAAGTCACTAGCAGGGTAACACAGCTTTATCCATAGCTACACACCACAAGCAGAACACTGCTTGAAGTTCTCTTTGCTCGGCTCAGGTACAGCATTACCGTAGTGTCCATAACACTACACCTCTAATTACAAATGAGGTACAGATGTCCTCCCGAAGCAAGTACGGCGGCTACACATCGTCGACTTCCATGACCCAAGCCTGTGTGACAAATAAACCTGATTCCTTATAGTGAGCTGTTTGATTAGTCGTTGTTGACAGGTGTTGACACGACGCATGATCCTGACTGGTTGCTGAGTCGGTGATTGTCGTCATGTGAATTTACAATAAGTACACTCATCACTCCCAGTTCCATTCTCACCTAACATAAATAGCCTAAGTCCAGAAAACACCCTAATTAACACCAATTATTTGATATCGTTATTAGAAAAAATTGTAATTAAATGTATGTGTCATGAAGTATCTAGAAATAGTGTGCGGGTCCAAAATATACATGTATATAACGCAATCTAAATTTGCTTCAATATGGCACATACATACTCCATACTTTTACAACCCGACTACGTACGCAGTGCACCAAGCTTGCCCTACGTGGATCAGGGATTCCATAGATAATCTTATCGAACAAGTGCACGGTATAACCACTAAAACACATGTAATAGCAATCAATTACGCTTATATTACTTAAATATAATAGTAATGCTTGTATTTTGTGTATTTATGCATCAAACATAGGTAAATGTAACACAACACACCTGCATAAACATCATTAACAATAGCCATGCATATGATTTGACCGCACCGATAGTAGCACAATATACAAAAACTAAATACAGAATATAACTATAGAAAATGTAAACTTACCACAGACTGTATCATAAATATCAGACCCACATATATATATATTTATATCGGGTTACGGGCAATGCCATATCCACTCGTATTGTTTAAAAAAATTCTTTCACGTGCCTCACAAAATTACCGCAACGCATGACGTACTTCCGCCCTATACTTTAAAGATACATACCTCATAAATTCCCTAATAAAATACTTTCAAAATATGGAATATATACTTGCGTACGTGGCGGTATGGCCCCTAGAGTAGTGTATGACCACTTGATGGTACTGTCCTATGGTTATGGCTTGACTTTGAAAATTATATTGTCCCTTGATTACCCATCCTTCATAGTTATTGTAATGTAAGGATTTACTTCTTTCGTCAAACAAAGTCCAATTGATAATGGCAACGTTGTCAGTCCCTGTTATAACTATACTTTTGATATCACTTGGAAACGGTCAGTCTCTTTGGAAAAGACCATTTACCTGGTAATGTAAAATCTTCTTAGCGAATGTAAGTACATATCCAGTTTAAACTAGACTTCTTCTTCTCTGTAAGATCTACCTCACCTAAGAACGCACATTTGGAGAAAGAATTGTCCTAGCATGAAACACAATAATTGATTTAGGCTACATTCGCGTATCCGGTTCAACTAGTTGAAACGGTTAAACATGTAAAGAAAACGACAGGCACAGATCAGAATCAAGGTTGGCCTCAGGGATATTCGGCATTTGTAGATTGAGGGGTCAAGACGTACATGTACCTGACACAAACTAAAATGCTTGCTATTGCTAGTTTGCGTTATTTCTTTCTAAATCAATGTCCAACCAGATGCAGATTTTAAAATACATTATACAATTTAGTGAACGCGTGAAAGAACGACATGCTATTTTTGATATATTATTATTTATCTTCCAAAATTGTGCATTTTTAGCTCTGCCTATACATGTAGTTCGGTCCAAGTGCGTTTGTTGATCGTGGAATATTTCTGCGCCACCTGTACCGTTTCAACCGGTATAAGCGAATGTAACTTCTGTTCGGTGTCTTTACTGTTTTGCCGACGAATGTTATAGCTTGACCATATTATTTTTTTCAGGAGACACACCTGACTTTACGAATCTCCCCGCCTCGATAGATGTGTATGACGACACCCCAATAGGTATGACGTTGTACACAGTTTCGTTCACTGATGCGAACATCGAGGATATACCGACCCTGTCTGTGACCGTGTATAGTGTCAATCCCTCAAGACCTAACGTTGCGTTCGACACAGCAACTGGTGAGTTTTTATACCCCCCGCAACGAAGTTAGGGGGGAGGGGGGGGGGGGATACCGGAATCAGCATGTCTGGCTGGCTGTCTGTCTCTAGAAAAAGTTTGTCCGGACCACTTCCTCTAATGGACCAATTTCAACGAAATTTACCAGATTTGATAATTATCACCTGAAGATGTGCATCGAGGTATTCTTTTCTCATTCTGTCCTTTTTTAAACAAATTTATGGCACTTTGTTGAAAAATCTTTGTCCGGACAACTCCTCCAAAACTACGAGGCCAATTTCGACAAAAGTTTCCAGATATGATAACTACCACCTGAAGTTGTGCATCCAGACATTATTTTTCATTCCGACCCTTTTAAAAGGAGTTTTGGTCCTTTGTTGAAAGAAAAAGACCTTGTCTCCTTAACTACTGGTCCGATTTCAATGAAAGTTTACAGATATGGTTATAACCACCTGATGTCGTTCATCAGGGTGGTATTTTTTTCATTTCGACCCTTTTTTAAGGAGTTATGGTTCTTTGATAAAAATATTTGTCCTGACAATTCTTCCTAAACTACTAGGACGATTTCAGCAAAACTGGTTCATCGTGGCTAACAAGATTTGGCTTTAAAGTGTGTTTTGCTATTGGGAGGGATTACAGAAAGTATGTCAGTTACCTATATACTTAAATAAGTGGACAGCTCAGTGAATAAATAAATCATTACTGGTGGGAGACTAAGGATTGCTTTGCAATGCTTTACCTTACTTAACCTTAAGCTTACAGCTCTAGTTTATATAGGAGCGGGGGTATGAGGCAGCCTTTGGCCTACAGTTCTAATTTCTTCTGCACGAAATATTGGTAACGTATGACGTTGTCACTAAATTGTCCTGCTAAACCTTCTCGCCATTAGCGTCGAAAAAGGTATATTCTCCTCATCCCCGAACTAGGGATGTTAATTTTTCTTAGCACCATTTATCTTTCTTATTTCAGTATAATTGTGATAAAAAATTATGATTTCTTTGCAAATATCCGAGCTATCCTACGCAAAACTTTCAGAAAACTTAGTTTTTTCTATTAATAAAGCTAGTATTGAACCTGGTTACAGAACTGATCATTCGGCCCCTACCATAACTATAAAATTTAATGATGTTAAAAAAGGTAAAGTTCTTTGGAAATTTAATAATTCTCTATTGCATGAATAAGACTATTTCGAATTAGTTAAAACAATATTTGAAAGTGTTATAATGCAATATTGCCTTCCAATGTACAACTACCATTCTCTTGCCTGTGTTTCTGATAGCTTAATTCAATTTGTGATTGAGGATCAGCTGTCTTTAGAGACATTGCTGATGGAAATGAGGTAAAACTATTTCTTATGCCTCATATAGGAAAAAACAACAGAACCTTAAAGAAAATGAACTAAGAGAATTATAGTAATACTTGAAGCTAGTACAAATCCCAACAGTGATGAAATGGAAGTTAAGATGAAAGAATTAGAAGCTATACGCTTAAAAAAAATAGTATTATTAGGGCTAGAGCAAAAGTGATAGAGGAGGGGAAAAAACCTACATCATACTTTTTTAGTCTTGAAAACCGTAACTACACTTCAAAATAATTCCAAAGCTGTAGAAAAATGATGTTATTATTACAGAACAGGAAGATATTTTAGGGGAAGTACGTACATTTAATGAAGATTTATACAGATTTAGGGAGGTAAATGATATTAATCTAGATAATTATCTTCAGGGTTGTAATGTTCCTAAGTTAAATCAAATTGAATCTAATAGTCTAGAGGGAAGAATAACAGAAGAAGAAGCAGGTAAGGTACTAAAAAATATGAAGAACAATTAAAGTCCCGGTTCTGATGGTTTTACTGCTGATTTTTTTAAAATGTTTTTGGAAATATTTGAAGGACTATGTTATTAGATCTATCAACTTTGGTTTCAACGTTGGCCAGCTATCAATCACACAAAGACAAGGCATAATTACTTGTATTCCCAAGGGAAATAAACCACGTCATTTTATTAGGAATCGGAAACCTATTTCTCTTTTTAATATCACCTACAAAATCGCATCTGGGATAATGTCTCAGAGAATTAGGAAAGTTTTAGATAAATTAATAAATAATGACCAAACAGGCTTTTTATCAGATCGCTATATAGGGGAAAATATCCGTACATTATATGATGTGATGCATTATGCTGAAGAAGAAAATATTTCTGGTATGTTACTTTCAATAGATTTTGAAAAAGCCAATCAATATTCGACGTGGATGCCGTCAAGGTGATCCAATCGCCGCATATATTTTTATTCTTTGTGTTGAAGTACTTGCAGCAAAAATAAGAAACAATGTATATATTAGGGGTATCCAGGTAGAAAATGCATTTATTCTAAATTTATAGTATGCTGATGATACTGGGTTGGTGCTGGATGGCTCAGAAATGTCATTGAGGGAATCTATCAATGAATTAAATAATTTCTCTAAGATATCAGGGCTTAACATCAACACTGATAAAACACATGTTATATGAATAGGCAGTAAAAAAAATATAGTGAGGAAATGTTTTTTTCAGATTTGAATTTACAATGGGGGAGGGGGGAGGGGGGAAGAATAGGTTTACCTTTTTAGGAATTGACTTTTCTGTTGACTTAACGGATATACCCAGATTGAATTTCGATAAGAAAATAGTGAAACTCAAAGCTTTAATTAATACTTGGAAAAAGCGGAATCTGACCCCCATAGGAAAAATTAATGTAATAAAGTCCTTGCTAATCTCTCAGCTAAATTATCTTTTTATTACTTGGACCCTGCTCCTAAACTCAATGATAGATTTGAAAAAGTTGCAGAACTGTGGAAATGCTTTTATTCTTTCATGTGGATCTAACTGTACAGATAAATTCTGGAAAGATGTTTTGATAGGGTGGGCAAGAATGAATAATTCAAGTTTATTTAAGAAGAGTTTACTTGATCATGACTCTATTTTGAAAACGCCACTTTGGTATAATAGAGATATACAAATTGGAAATAATTTCATCTTCTATCGAAATTGGTTTAATGCTGGTATATTTTCATTAAATGGCTTGATTAAAGATCCTAGAAACTTAACTTTTTTCTCACTACATGAGTTTCTGGATCGGTATATAATTAACATCAACTTTCCTCAATACCATGGGTTGGTATCAGCAGTAAAATCTTTTCTAGAGAAATCTGAGGTAGAGTTACACTTTGAAAAACCAGCCCAACCTTTTATACCTTTTTGAAATATTTTTCAGAAATCATAAAGGCTCAAAAGATTTTTACAACTGTCTCATTACACCAGCTCCTGTGCCCACTCGGGTAAAGAAATGGTGGATTTTTTTTATCTTTGATATAGATAAATGGAAGAAAATTTATAGAATTCCCTTTATAGTCTCAATGAGTTCAAAGTTACAATGGTTTCAGGTGAGAATTATACACCATATAATAGTTAAAAAAAAAAATCTGTTCAAAATAAATATTACTTCAAGTCCATTGTGTACCTTTTGTAAGAGTGAACCAGAAACAATAATTCATTGTTTATGGGAATGCAGAGAAGTTCAAGGACTACTACAGGAACTTGAAAATCTTTAAGATATTTTGTTCATTGCCTTTTCAACAAATAAAGAATCTTTCATATTTGGAATCACATCACCACAGACCAGCGCAGTCGATAATTTTCCATTAATAAATTTTAACTCAAGTACTCCTTATAAAGTATGGTTTTTCCTCAAAGCCTGGCATTGCTGAAACTATGTATTAGTTATCTTTTCCTTTATAAGAATTTTTCTTTCTTTTTTTGTTCTTCACACTATATTGAATCTCCCAACTCTCTCTCTCTCTCTCTCTCTCTCTCTCTCTCAACAAGTGTATGTGAGTGTGTGTGTGTGTGTGTGATTGTGTGAAAGGGTAAAAGTGTGTGAGTGTGCAAGGGTATGAGTGGATGTGTGCGAGGGTAAGTATTTGTATAGCAATAGTTGTGAGGATGATGTAATGAAAAACGATGAAGATGAATGTCTTTAGAATAAATTGTCATTTGATGATGGAGATGATGATGAAAAGTGACATGAAGATGATGATGATAATGATGCGAATAATGACACGAAGATGATGATTATAAGTATGTGATGATGAGTGGCATTTGATGAATGATGATTAGTGTGCATATAATTATAAATGATGATGATACATGATGACAGAATGATGATGATGAAGATTATATATATTATATAATTGTCAATCATGATGAATGGCTTTTTTATGATGATGCTGATAATGATCTTTTGATTGTAAGATTTTATGTATATTTTAAAAAAGTTGAAAAAATAAACAATTACAACAACAAAATCAAAAAAAATCCGCGTAAAAAAATGGTTAGTCATAAACAAATGAATTAAAGTTACGACGAAATATTTTAAGGATTATAACACCATGTCAAGTGTCAATATGCATATGGAAAAGACAATGACAATAGGATTGTTTTAAAAATATTTTTCTACATAGTTTAAGGTTGATTGTATTCCTCCGCGCAAATCGTCTGTTTGTTTACGTTTGTCAGAGACCGAGGATTTGCGATCGTTGACCATTGAACTTACAAGACATTTAGAAATCATGATGTTACAAAATGTAAGTGATATTTTTTTAAATAAAGAAATATATACGGGGTAGTAATATATAGATGATAAACCGTTTATCACGCAGTATTTTCAGTGTTTTTCGTTCTAACTATTTTCTCATCGCTCACACGTAGATAAAATCTCGAGTCTACCTGAGGTGGCCTCTCCATATTATCCACGTGCTCGAGATGGGAAAACACAGTGTGATGATCTATAATTGTCCTATAACAGCTTTATATTGTATCACGTACAACTGGTATAATCTTTAACATTTTTTTCGAAAACAGTTAGAGTGAAATTACTTCACGTTGCGTGATATCAATTAATTTTCGACGTCAACCTTTTGCTTAGTTAAGTTTAGTTTATTCTGAACGCAGGCAGTGTCTGCCTCTGTATTCAGATCATAGTCCATATCTATTTAATCATAATATATAACAATGTTTTTGATGTGACATCAATCCAATGTTGTTGTGAATCTCCTTTAATCACCTGCCCAAAATTTATCAATGCGGTTTTCAAACGTTATTAGATTTGGTGCTTGAATCACGTTCTCAGTTGAAGAATTTCGGTTGCTAACAATTCGTTGAGTAAATGAGTAATTCCTTACGTTCAACCTGCTCCTTGATTTATCCAGACTGAGTGAATGTCCTCGAGTCCTTTACTCTTGTTTTATTGACCAAAGTCCCTGTGATGCTGTTATATCATATATTCTCCTCAAGATTTTGAGCATTTCTATCATGTCTCCCCTAGTACGTCTATAGAATAACGACGGGAGTTTAAGATGATGCACTCTTTCCTCGTTTATAATTCCTTCATTCCTGGCAGTAATTTAGTAGCTCTCCGTTGGACACTTTCTAGTAGTTCAGTATCCAGTTGTTTGTATGGTTTCCATACACATGCTCCATTCTCTAGATGGGGTCGAACTAAAGATTAATACAGTAGGCAGAATGATTTATTATACAAGTATATATATGATCTTCGGATGGCTCCAGGTACTCGGGTTGTTGTGTTTACGGCGCCTTGTATATGCTTTCTAAAATTCAACTTATTGTCGACAATTATACCAAGGTCTTTCTCTTCCATTATCTCAGTTTGCGTAACTGTTGTTATCAAACCATCAACATCTTGATATAAATGAGGTTTATCTGAACTTTCCCAAATACATTGTTTTGCATTTGTTAGGATGGACTTTTAGCAACCATTTGTCCGATTATTACTGTAGATAGTCTAGGTCCTGCTGAAGATCTCGATTGACCCAGGTGTCTTTCCACAATTTAGTATCATCGGCAATGAGTAGAGTTCTCGCATCAACGACATCTGGTGGTTCATTTATGCATAGAACAAACAATGATTGTCCCAGTACAGTGTCCTCTGGTATTCCACTGAAAACGTGTCTACATTCAGAGGTGTTACAATTAACAGCAACTTGCTGACGTCTTTTAGCCAAAAAGTATTTTATCCATCTTACTATTTCTGCTGAGAATCCATATGATTTCAGTTTGCTGATTAGCTTTCTGTGCGGAACAGTGTCAAAGGCCTTCATGAAGTCCATACCACCCCCTTCATCAATGATTCTCGTCCAGTCATCCATGGTTTTAAGAAGCTTGAGTAATGCAGACCTCCCTTTCACAAGTCCAAATTGCGGAGTACTTAAAAGCTTGTTGTTTGTTAAATGTTCCATAACGCGATTCCTTACCACTGTTTCCAAATAGACTTCTTTGAATCTAATGTAAAACCACTGCTGAAATAGTCCACCAATACGTTTGCCTTTTCACTGTTGCTTTCAGCAATGTGAACCACTTGATCATTCCTAGTCTAGGTTCTGTTTTGGAATTGGTGTATTATCAAAATCTCTTCGGGTTGGTTTTCACATTCTTTGCGATATGTTATTCCAGTTGTTATTTACCTTTCCGCACTAAACTCTTTACTTTGTTTCTTGCCTTAACATACTCTACATATTTGTTGTGATCCGTTGTTTCCATGAATCTCCTCCAGCATTTGTGGGGTTTTTCTCAACTGATTCTACTGTTTCTTCATCTAATGGTTGTTTGTGTATCTTATTTCCACCTTATTTTTTGGATTGTGTTAGCCTAACGCGATTGGTACTTTTTAGTAAATGTGTTGTACTTTTCCTCCATGTTCTCGAATTTTAATCATGTATCCCAGTCTATGTTTAGTTAGTTACCGCGGTTATAGTTTAGTTTAGTTAAGTTTAAGTTGCGGTATCACGTCACGTCGATTTTTTTAGTCACCTGATCGGATCTGTTTATTAAGAAAACTGTTTGCTTTTTTTATAATGATATTGTTGATTAGAATATATTATCAGTTTGGCGTATTCTACGTAAACTGACTACTCGCTAAATCTCCTACTTGAAACAAACAATCATTCATATCAACCGTGACTTGCTTGGTATCCTCCATGTCAAAACACATTTTTGACTTACTTTTTAAAGTAATTATTTCCTGATATCAGCGTCTGAATATTAAACAAATTAAACAAATATAAACATATCATAACAAAATATATAAATGTATACAGTCGTTTCTATGTTGAATTTTAACAATTATGATCGTTTTTTCCTTTCGACAGGTGAATTAACCACCACAGGATTGCTAAGCTACGGGACGTTCACCATACGTTTACGTGTAAATGACCGCTGTAACAACAATAATAGACGGGAACTCATACTCAACGTCCTTAACTATGTAAGTTATAATGTTAATATACGGACCTTACAATCAACGTACTTAACTATGTGAGTCACAACGTTAATATACACGGGACCTCACAATCAACGTACTTAACTATGTAAGTCAGTACGTTAATACACGGGACCTCACAATCAACGTATTTAACTATGTAAGTCATAACGTTAATACATAGGACCTCACAATCAACGTACTTAACTATGTGAGTCACAACGTTAATATACGGACCTCACAATCAACGTACTTAACTAGGTAAGTCATAACGTTAATACACGGGACCTCACAATCAACGTACTAAACTATGTAAGTCATAACGTTAAAACACAGGACCCCACATTCAACGTACTTAACTATGTAAGTTATAACGTTAATATACGGACCTCACAATCAACGTACTTAACTAGGTAAGTCACACCGTTAATATACGGGACCTCACAATCAACGTACTTAACTAGGTAAGTCACACCGTTAATACACGGGACCTCACAATCAACGTACTTAACTTTGTAAGTCAGTACGTTAATACACGGGACCTCACAATCAACGTACTTAACTATGTAAGTTAAAACGTTAATACAGGGGACCTCACAATCAACGTACTTAACTATGTAAGTCACAACGTTAATACACGGGACCTCACAATCAACGTACTTAACTAGGTAAGTTATACCGTTAATACACGGTACCACACAATCAACGTACTTAACTCTGTAAGTCATAACGGTAATACACGGGACCACACAATCAACGTACTTAACTCTGTAAGTCATAACGGTAATACACGGGACCACACAATCAACGTACTTAACTAGGTAAGTTATACCGTTAATACACGGGACCACACAATCAACGTACTTAACTCTGTAAGTCATAACGTTAATACACGGGACCACACAATCAACGTACTTAACTATGTAAGTCATAACGTTAATACACGGGACCCCACAATCAACGTACTTAACTAGGTAAGTCATCACGTTAATACACGGGACCTCACAATCAACGTATTTAACTATGTAAGTCACAACGTTAATACACGGGACCTCACAATCAACGTACTTAACTAGGTAAGTTATAACGTTAATACACGGGAACCCACAAGCAACGTACTTAACTATGTAAGTCATAACGTTAATACACGGGACCCCACAATCAACGTACTTAACTATGTAAGTCATACCGTTAATACACGGGACCTCACAATCAACGTATTTAACTAGGTAAGTTATAACGTTAATACACGGGACCCCACAATCAACGTTCTTAACTATGTAAGTCATACCGTTAATCCACGGGACCTCACAATCAACGTTCTTAACTATGTAAGTCATACCGTTAATCCACGGGACCTCACAATCAACGTTCTTAACTAGGTAAGTTATAACGTTAATACACGGGAACCCACAACCAACGTACTTAACTATGTAAGTCATAACGTTAATACATAGGATCTCACATAGGACCTCACAATCAACGTACTTAACTATGTTAGTCATAACGTTAATACACGGGACCTCACAACCAACGTACTTAACTATGTAAGTCATAACGTTAATACATAGGACCTCACAATCAACGTACTTACCTATGTAAGTCATAACGTTAATACACCGGACCTCACAATCAACGTGATTAACTATGTAAGTCATAACGTTAATATACAGACCTCACAATCAACGTACTTTACTATGTAAGTCATAACGTTAATACACGGGACCTTACAATCAACGTACTTAACTATGTAAGTCATAACGTTAATACACGGGACCTTACAATCAACGTACTTAACTATGTAAGTCATAACGTTAATACATAGGACCTCACAATCAACGTACTTACCTATGTAAGTCATAACGTTAATACACCGGACCTCACAATCAACGTATTTAACTAGGTAAGTTATAACGTTAATACACGTGACCTCACAATCAACGTACTTAACTATGTAAGTCACAACGTTAATACACGGGATCTCACAATCAACGTACTTAACTAGGTAAGTTATACCGTTAATACACGGGACCACACAATCAACGTACTTAACTAGGTAAGTTATAACGCTAATACACGGGACCTCACAATCAACGTACTTAACTATGCAAGACATAACGTTAATACACGGGACCTTACAATCAACGTACTTAACTATGTAAGTCATACCGTTAATACACGGGACCTCACAATCAAAGTACTTAACTAGGTAAGTCATAACGTTAATACACGGGACCACACAATCAACGTACTTAACTAGGTAAGTTATACCGTTAATACACGGGACCACACAATCAACGTACTTAACTAGGTAAGTTATAACGTTAATACTCGGGACCTCACAATCAACGTACTTAACTATGCAAGACATAACGTTAATACACGGGACCTTACAATCAACGTACTTACCTATGTAAGTCATAACGTTAATACACCGGACCTCACAATCAACGTATTTAACTATGTAAGTCATACCGTTAATACACGGGACCTCACAATCAACGTACTTAACTATATTAGTCATAACGTTAATACACGGGACCTCACAATCAACGTACTTAACTATATTAGTCATAACGTTAATACACGGGACCTCACAATCAACGTGATTAACTATGTAAGTCATAACGTTAATATACAGACCTCACAATCAACGTACTTTACTATGTAAGTCATAACGTTAATACACGGGACCTCACAATCAACGTACTTACATAGTTAAGTACGTTGATTGTGAGGTCTGTATATTAACGTTATGACTTACAAAGTTAAGTCCGTTGATTGTAAGGTCCCGTGGATTAACGTTATGACTTACAGAGTTAAGTACGTTGATTTTGAGGCCCCGTGTATTAACGTTAATACACGGGGCCTCAAAATCAACGTACTTAACTATGTAAGCCATAACGTTAATACACGCGACCTCACAATCAACGTGATTAAGTATGTAAGTCATAACGTGAATACACGGGACCTCACAATCAAAGTGTTTAACTATGAAAGTCATAACGTTAATACACGGGACCTTACAATCAACGTACTTAACTTTGTAAGTCATAACGTTAATACACGGGACCTCACAATCAACGTATTTAACTCATAACGTTAATACTTTGGACTTATTATTTTACTTTCCCCTACAAACCTTTTTGTCAGAGGTAAGGTTTGCTACTTCATTACTTCATTAATTCAAAGTCAATTTGAAATCTTTGATTCTATCTTAAATGGTTTGTTTAAGAATAGTTATAGCGCGCGAATGGATTTCCCTCTTCATTGCTGATTTGAGGTTGATGTGTAAGCGTTAAATGAAAAAAGAAATCTCTATTTGAACAACAGCAACAAACAACAAAAAACAAACAAAATTAAATCTTATTCCATAAGACTTACTTACCAAAGGACATCTTGGAACAACATACCCTTATCGAAGATTTGATTTTATTGCGATTATTTTTATACGATTATTGCTTGTAACAGTCAATTTGAATATGCATTACTCCTTTAAAACGAGATCCCGAGAAAAGGGTCATGGGTATTATATCAATAGTGTAGTCATATTGCACATGCAGTACTAATGAACTGTTTAAAAATCTGCTTTGATTTGTATTGTTTTAGCCACCTGTTATCGGTAACTTACCGGCATCATGTGACCTTTCTGAAGTAGTAACCTTGGAAACATTCCTCTATGAAGTGACTGTATCAGATGCTTCCGGTGATCAAGTGACATGCGCACTTAATAACACGTCTCCTGCAGGTGCCCCGTTTCTTCTAAAATATGTATCTGGAACAAGTTGTAAGTATATTCCTCGTATGAAAATATTACAGGACTTTGGCAAGCTGGAAGTTGCAAGAATCAATATTTACTTAAATATTTTTCATTTCATAGAAAATATGTGGGGTTGACATATATAGGATTTTCAATGAGTTTCCATGTAACATGAGATCTATTAAACGAGTCTAAGAACTTCAATTTAGAGGCGAGCTAAAATGAAAAATTCGTGACGAGTTTCATAAATCTCATATGACATGGAAACGAATGCAAGATCCTTTTTATGATATAACTGAAATACTGACCTTTCATTCGTTCAAACAAACAATTTCATCATCCTTCATTTCATCACCTGACTTTTGATGACACGACCAAAGCACTACTATAAAAATGTAGATCAGATCTATCTGCGCTGTAACAAATAGTCAAAAATATACATTTTTAAAATCACTCATGAATAAATTAAATTAATATTCAATCCATCTTTTCAATGCTTTGTACCAATATAGAGCGTCAGCTGAAATTTGAAGACATTTTTTAACAAAACAGAGCAACATGTTCACACGGTTCACTCTACGTTACAGCTCGCGACGCGGAAATTCGAGGTGTCAACAGCTTCACTGAAAAATGACTATCACTGTCCGATAATCCTACGTCGTTTAACTGGTTTGGAAAGTGATGTTGGAGATTGTTGATAAATGTTAATGCTGAAATGTCCAGTCGAGTTGTGACGAGTGACTAAATCTGTTGTATTTATTTTAGCTTGTTCTGAAATATAAGCATATGTTGTAAAATAAACTATGGGTACATTCGCGTATCTGGTCGAAACGGTTGAAACGGTTGAATCTGTGAAGAAAACGACAGGCACAGATCTGACCCGCGGCTGACCTCAGAAAAACTCGGCACGTGTAGATTGATGGGTCCAGACGTATCTGACCGAAACTAAAATGCTGACTATTGCTAGTTCGCGTTATTTCTTTCTAAAACAATGTCAAGACACATGTCGATTTTAAGATACGTTATGTAATTCAGTGGACGCGTGAAAGAAGGGCATACTCTTATTGATACACTGTTTTTTATTCTCCGAAACTGTGGATTTTTAGCTCTGCTTATAGAACGGTCCAAGTGCGTTCGTTCATCGGTGAATAGTTCTGCGAGACACGTACCGTTTCAACCGGGATAGGCGAATAAAGCCTTAATATATTATCGCCATTTTGTATCTTCAAGCCTATGGGATTTACAGTCAATCGTCGCCCAATCTCGACTTCGCCACAGTTCCTCTGTACACCCTTACGATATTCTGTACTGACGGCATTACTACGGACGTCGAGACATTCACCGTCCACGTGACCAAGAACAGTCCCGCTATCTTCTCCAATTTACCTGGTAAGATACACCTCTGAGTCTCGATTTTGTTGCTGTGTTGTGACACGTGTTTTATTTTACGCGCCTACCACACAACTGGATGTTAACGGGATATGAAATGGAAACGATTATAAAAACTTTGTATTCCTTAACTAGGAATGTATGCAAAATTTGCAAATAATATTTTAATTTCCCCCCACTTGGAAAGCCCCTCTGGAAATTTACTTTATCTTTCTATGTTCCCAAAAATCTCAACGACAGGCATACAAAACTTACGTCCTAATTACGTTTACTTTGAATATGTTTTCTTACAGCCAATGTAAGCGTTCCCCTGACGACACCTTTAGGCACGGTTGTGTACACTGTAAGAGCGACAGACCCAGAGGGAAGTAGTGTCAGCTATAGTATGATTACCTGTCGATCCTGTTGGTTCAGCATCGCTAGTTGTAAGTTGAACACGGTAACGATATAGACATGCTTGTGTGCTTGTTATATTCTTTAATGCTGAGACGTCCACTGGCTGTCAATCAATAGTTGCTCACCCCCCTTCCTAAGAACAGCAATTCAGATATCACATGTAACCATGCATTGTATAAACAACCCTATAATAATATACCATGTAAATTTGTGTGTTATCGGCATAGCAATGTTAGCGAAGGCTATGGCGACGACAAATATCTCCAATCGGTTTGGAGTACATACAACATTTTCGTGGTCCTAACACCTAACCTTGAGGAACCCCGAAATCTAGTACTTTGTCATGTGATGTAGAAGATCCGATGGCAACACACTGTCGTTTTTCACCCATGTAAGACTGTATCCAATGCTTCAAGACATTGCTTTAATATGTCTGTAAGGTAGTGGATCAAGCTCACAGTACTTCGATGGCGAGGTCATGATAATGTTGCACAACTCGTCCTAGGTTGTTGGTGAGAGCTTTGCTAATTGTTCCCCATCAAATGCAATCAAATCAAATCCATCATGATAGAGATGTCAATGTCAGCAGAGGAGTTCACTTCGGCTATATTTTTCCTGATTGAGCTGATTTTATTCAGAAAGTAATCACTGAGTGTTTTTCAGAATTACAGCTTGGTAGGATAATTTCACCTTTCTGTCCCATTAGGTTTTTGGTGAGTTCAAAAAGCTGTCTATTATCCTTACCGCATTCTTCGATTCTTTCCGAATAATAAGCCTTCTTTCACTGAAACAGAAGTGAACCAACTAGCCGACATTGTCTCTATAAATCTGTTGGTGAACGGTTAATTTGGTCCGTCGCCACTGTCTCTCTGCTTTTCTAAGGTTCTGTTTTTCTACGCGGGGATTTTCATTATACCACGGGGCATTTGGTCTCACGGTTATCACCTTAGTCTGCAGAGGTGCGTGTTTCTCTATACAAAAAGTCGGAGCCTTATTTGGCCATCGGACAAAGTGTAAGCGGACATGCGGAGCTAACGTTACTATACCAATATGTTAAAGCATATTATACATTATATTCGTTCATTTCTTTGACAGATGGTTTCCTTTTTTAATTTTCTACAGCTGGAGAAGTAATTGTAGCGACCTCTCTGCTGACCAAAACCTCCACTACTTACAACATCGACATCAGAGTATATGATGGATCTACACACTCGTTATCCTACACTCTCACATTTATCTTCACCGGTTAGTCCTTAAATGATTATATATGTTAATAACAGACAGATGTTTAAGGCTTTACGAGGCGTTAGAAAATTCTTAAAATATTATTTTGAGAAATAATTGATAATTTACTAATATGGTTGTATATGGACGACAATTTTGAATTATATATACATGCAGATTGAGTGGTGGATATCATATTTTTGAGGGAAAAAATTAAAATGAACTTGAGGTTTTGAACCATTAAGTCAAGACTTCTCATCTAAAAATAATTAGTGGGACCGTAACAAACTGTTATATCTATAAGTGAAGTAGCAATAAGTGTTATAATATTTCGGGAATTTAACGTTTAACGCCGCCGCCGTAGGAGGTGACGCGAACGGTGCTGCAAGATTTTGTTTTCAAACATCTAATATATCTGGACCGACGTCTTCTGGAAAGACATATGATGTCAAGACTCTGATATAGAACTTCTTAAATAAGATATCACCTCCTCCACAAAAGATCGTATGGCTCTACAAAAGATGGCAGCCCCTTTCGCGTCACCTCCTGCGGCGGCGACACGCATGACTGATACGTGGGTAGGTACAGGATTATTCTCCTGCAGCGGCGGCGACGGCGGCGGTGAATAGATATGTATGTTTTGTTGATGTATTTTCAAGACGTCTTTTCTGGAAAACCAGCCTTGGCAGTCGGCACACTGTATGTTAGACATGTTAACACCTCGGCGTCTTGTTGTCAAATGAAACATTTATGTTTTCAACCTTATTGATACTCACTCATGTGTTGCATTGTGTAAATTTGAATACATAAGACAATTGCTAGTATATCACATTTTATTACATAAATCAAAGATAAGTCATGTGTACAATAAAGAACCTACTCTTAATAGACTACTGAGTGTCATCTGCCACCCTGTTTGCAGTGTCTGCCTGTGTACCTCAATGTGGGATCAGTTTACACATACATATACAGTGGAAGTAGTTGACATACGCATAAAGGACTCATAATTCGTTCGAAAGAATTATAAACATGTATTACAGTTCAGTTTTGTAGTCGTGGAAAAGTGTTCGGTTAACATACATAGTGTGTGACCTAGCCTGTATCAGTTCTGGTTTTTAATTGTACCATGTAACGAGAAGGTTCCAGAAGAAACACTGATCCGATTGAAACCGGTTTCGATATTTCTAAACGTGATGCAATCAGGACGATCCCCCGTGAAATCGTCGATCGGTACCCCCGGGGGGGGGGGGGGGGGGGAGGGAAGGTACCATAGGTATTATATCGGAGATTGCACTCATTGACTCTGGGTCGGGATCGGTTCTTTTTTACTACTATGCAATCCAAATAATGAAAAAGAGAATATTACGAAACTGCCGGTATCAATATACTAAAATCATATCACGGTCAGTATATGTTTTGTTTTACATCAGGGACGTATTGTATGAAAGATTACATCAGTTAAATAATGGAATTATCATGAATGATTGTTACCAAAAATCGGTTACTCAATAGTTGAATATATGTAGTAAAATATAATCTGTAACTATTTACATTTGTGATAGATTTGCCCTTGCTATGGAGCGCGAAAGTCGGGAACATTAAACTGTGGCAAAACGTTCCTTATGTTCTAAGATTCAGGTATATCCTTTCCATTACCGTGACTATTAAATGTTTCGTTGTAAGAAGCGTCTTGCTGACATGGATTCAGTGATCGGGACCAAGATGTGGCTAAGGCATTCGGCTAATCTCGGCCGATTCTGGTACCCTTCATCAATTTGTAGGTACGGAATCTGCCGAGATGTGACGAATGGGGGCTAAGGATCCCTGGCCATATTGCACTGTGTTTTTTCCTATACGCAGTAACCTACCTTTAACTTTTGTTTAGGTATAAATACCCAACCCGTTCTCGACAATCTTCCCCGGACATTGAACATCCCAGAATCCTTGGCAATCGGAGCGGAAGTTTTTACCCTAGTGATGATCGATCCTGACGTCACAGATACCCATTCTTACGTATTCTCTTATAGTCCAGCGTCTGCAGCAACCGCCTTTACCTTTGACACTACCAGTAAGTATGTCCCCCTTACCAGCATCTATCTTGACGTCACTGTAAATCGTCATATCAATATCACCATTATTTTCTTTTGACAGAGACAAAGATCTTAATTGAGTAATTAATAACTTCCTATAATAACCTTAAAGTGATTGGCCCTGTACTTTATGTGGAAAAAAAATGTATACCGAAATATTAAGTAATCTCAAACTAGAACTTACGATACGACTTGTGATTAATGAATAAAACATCTATGAAGGATAACTTATTCTCTCATTTCCGTGTGTGTAAGATAGAGCTATCCAGAGTTTTGGAGTCAAATGAGAAATGTGCGGACAGTTTACAACTTTACTAGAAGAACAGCTGTTTTTACGGGTTTTAGGTAATAAGCAAGAAATAGAATCCATCCCTGATGTGAGGCATAAGTAAGGTCATTCAAACCCTCGGGATAAAATATTGAGCAGAAAACCCTCGGCAAAGCCTCGGGTATCCTGCTCAATATTTTATCCCTTGGGTTTGAATTACCTTATCAATACCTCACATCAGGGATGTATTCTATTAAGCTTACACCCATTTCACGTGACGTGACGTCACAATGGCCAAACAATGACGTGACGTCACGAATTTGGATTTATGAGAGTTCATTAAGCAGCAAAACTTGATTATTTTACTTGATAAATAATAGTGACAGTAAGATCCAATATGGCCAATAGATCCGAATACAGGAACTTTCGTTGGATACACTTTGATACATAAGCAAAGAAGTAAATAGTGATAGCAATTTACAGGATAATCCGCTCCTTTTCAAGACAGAAACTTGAACACTTACATATCTCAACAAATAACAAAGATAACACTCACTATGAAACAATACTACAACATAAAATGCACTAACAAAAGCACAGTAATCACTTATGAAGTATGCTGCTGTTACTACATCTCCTCTGTTATGTATCTTGTAATCGAAGGCTAATTATTGTAAAAAGAATTCAATTTGAAGGTGCGGGGTCAAGTGAATTTATAGAAATCTCCCTTTTTTCCCCTTTTCTCCCTTTCTTTTGAGGGGTTTGCTTAGTGAAAGACAGGTAATGTATAGCATCGTCGGGGTATTTATGCAATTTCAAAGTACCATAAGTTAATATAAGACATTTTGAATTTGTAAGTCCTATAAATTTAAAGAACATATCAGGAAAGCGTTCACATCAATGCTGTAAGGGAATTGGTTGGTGAGAGTGTTCATACGTCAATATCATCATTACTAGTTCTAAAACATGGTATGTGCCGCAGTAAAAGCTTATGAACGACATTTAAATAAAATATCATTTTACTCCATATTGTAAAAGAATTGATAAATCAAACAATGAAAAACAAAAAAACAAACCTGTATGATTAAGTAAAGATACCTGATGTACGTTCGCCGTGGTTTTTGTATTTGTCCATTCCAGCACGTCGACTAACAGTAGCCACGACACTTAATTACGAATCTGGGGTCACCCAGTACACGATTAGTTTTACGGTGGATGACGGTCATCTGTCTGACGGACCACAGGACCTCATCATCAACATCCTTGATGTAAATGACGCCCCGGTCTTCCAAAAATCCATTTATTCTGTGACGGATTTAGAGCGAAACGTAAGTAGTTTACACGATCTTCTGTTATAGGAGAAATGCTGCAATAAACCTTTGATTATAATATTGTTATATAAAGTTAACTTTCCATTAATTTGACCTAATAAATTGAGAGAGAAATACATAATAACGCCGTCAGCACACAGGAAATCAATTTTCGAAGCCGACACAACACAAGGATCCAAAGAGGCACACCGATACATCAGAGGTTGCAAACAAAAGTCGAGTCAAGCTAGTTGTGAATGAGAATGGATTCCTGCAGGAGTTGCCTCACACATGCATACAATGGGAATTCGTATTTTGTGCTCATAGTTCTCACGAAAAGCGTCATAATGTAAATGTATCAGGTTTTAATTAGATATATAACTCCGGTAGCATTATGTCTTCCTGCTAGTTGTTAGTTTCAATTCCCCGGTGGAAGCACTCTTTTCCCTTTCCTGTTACATAAATAATAATATACACATAATACCCATGTATCTCAAAACAAGATGATAAGGTATGTCATTCTATTTTCCAGACCAATCATGTGTTACCAGATCCTGGTTTTGTGGTGACTGACGAAGATCCAGGTGACACAGTTTCGTATACCATCACTTCCGGTAACTCTCTCGGAAGATTTAAGATGGATCCTCTAACCGGAATACTTACGTTTACGGTAAATTACGACGTCGACGATAGCAACATGCCGCAATTCGTTGACTTGATAGTGACAGCTACAGATTCCGGCGATATGACAGCTACTGTATTACTCCAGGTCACTTTAGTCGATAACAATGACAACTCGCCGGTCTGGGAGCAGGATTCCTACGAGACAATAATTGCCGCGGATATGACCATTGGATCCTCCATTCTTCAGGTCAGAGCTACTGACATTGACGTAGAGTACAACAATAACAATATCTTTTACACCATATATTCGGGGTCAACGGAATATTTCGGAATCAAAGACAATGGTGAAATATACTTATTAAAAAGTGTATCAATTTACGGAAACTACACAGAACTGTATGTCGATATCCGGGCAACAAGCACCAACAGGCACGTGTATGTTACACTCAAGGTCATTGTGAATCCAGCCACAAGTGACGACTTTTTTGATGATACCGGAAATGTTGCTTGGTTTTCTGTATGCATTGTTGTAGGTGTGGTTGCTGTCATTGTGTTTAGCGTTATGTTGTATCGCTACTTCCGGTATGGATATGTGTTCGCCAATAAGACAGAAACCAGGTAAATGTCATGTCAATGTTGTATGGATTTGTTTATTATCGAAGTATGGTAAATTTTAAACGTAAGCATTCAAAATAATGAAATTTTTAACTCTAACACCTTAATTGTGTGCGTACATTTAATCGACGTAGACTCAGTTGTATAGCCCATCAATTAATCCTCGACAAAAGCAAAAAGCACGTTTTGTAGGTCCGTCAGCGATTTAATTTTTCGTTATGTTTCATTTTGTTGTATTTTTTCATTTTGTTGTATTTTTTCATTTTTTTTCTCTGCTGATAACCTATTATTTGTGAAAAGAATTTTTCACTTCGTTGAAAAAACATTATTTTCTATGAAGCTATATATACGGTTGTAGTGACAGTGCTGGAATCATTACTAATTATGCCATACATCATGAATTTAATAAAAAAAGAAAATAAACGGTTTAAAGTTGATGTGTAATGCCCACTTAAGTCCAAAGTAACAACTTGTCATCCACTTTTTAAAATATTGAAAGCCGTACATATTTTTACAGAATAAACAATATTGTAATATTTTGAATAAATTGTAAGCTTTATCATATTGTTGAAAACAATGGTATTTTAACATCGTGCAATACAAGAAATTCGTATAAGGTCAATATTTAGGGATTAACTTGAATATATTTTTCAGGTTATGGAGATATAAGACAAAAACACAGAGTGTACTCTTGATAATGATGAGAGTACACTCCGGTTTTTTGTGTTATAGCATGAAAAATACATTCAAGTCAATCCTTATAATTAAATCTACTATACACAATCCCTGTGGAAACCCACTTTTATTGATGGACTCTTTTCTCTTTGAAATTATTACGCCGCTGTATTAGCCAATCAAAAGCGACGTTACAAACGGCGACGTATTTTATTTACGTTATGTGCTGATAACATACATTTTTAAGCCAATGAAAATGCTTGTTACAAGCAAGATTAAATTATTTTAATATAAATTAAACAAAAAAAATAATGCAGAATGATTTTGCTGACAATTGACGATATTTTTTTTTAAATCCTAGAATGTTTTAACAGTATTTAATCAAAGTGTGATACAAATGTAGCTTAATATTCCTGCTAACAAAAAACATAGAAATGCCTTTAAACGCACTTAGTTTCTCGGGTATCCACCTCATTTCATTTTATTTTACATGTTTTGTTTTGGTGTTGTTTTACGGCCCAACGATAATTTAAGTCATTTAGGGCAAACGACACTACAAACTTAAACGTTCAATCCAAATTGAGTTTTAAAATATGCAAAAACATCAAGAGCGAAACATTTTTAATAGTTGACAAAAATGTAACGTCTTTGTTGTAAATTGGAACCTTCGATCATGAAATTTTTGACAGTAAATGGTTGGTCGCATGCATGACAATAAGGTTGATTGCCTTTTCGTAAATTTAAGCGTGTGTTATATAGGTATAGCCACTTTGTTATCGTGAGAGTACCACTTCCTCCCTGCGGACACGTTCACTTGTTGCACATGGACCCATATCAGGTTGAACTAAAAATATCTTATAATACGTGCATGTGTCGTGATTTAAAGTAACTGCTGTCTATGCCATTTGGGAATTCTGTGAATCAAAGCTTCGGGATAATATTAATTTTAGCGTCCAAAAAAGCAGGAAAGAACCAATTTATTATTACTGTTGGAGTGAAAACATTTGCAATTGTCATTTAAGATACGTTTCATCTATTATAATTTCAGCGTGGAACATCTGAATTTGGAGAACACAGATTCTAGAAATGACGGTAAATATATTTAATATCGAGATGTACCGAATAAACCATTATCATTTTTTTCTGTCATAAAGTATGAATAACTCAGAGGAAGGCAAGGGAAAGAATTACCAATTTACAGATCTGGCTGATTTTTGAGAATCTATAGTATTTTTGATATTATTTTGAGGAGGTATATGCGGTCAATGTGCACATCGTTTTTCCTGAGATGAAATGAAACAAAATACTTAAAATAGAGCTTTGTCTACTGATACAACTAAGGGACAAGGAGAATGAAGATATTGTAGCTTTTTTGAGTTTTTTGCTTTTGTTCCAGTGTTATCACAGGGGGATAACAACACGACCACTGAAGATCCTGTCAGAGGTATTTCACCGTCAAATACTCCCAATCGACCCCCGACTACACTACGCGATGGCACGCCGTCCACTGAACCGCCTCGTTACAATAGTCCAGTGATGCTTCAAGACGTTACTTCGGCCACAGAAAAGAATATACCATAGCGATTCACGCTTCAATTAAGCTCGATTTTCAAGGAAACTATTCATGAACCGTATCTTTTCGGAAGATTGTGTATCCATTTCACAGTTAGGAACCTCGGGAAACCCAAGAAAAAAAACATTCACACAGAATTATTCAGATTGGCAAAATAAATGATGGTATTTGAAATTGTTCAGTAGCCTAATGTTGTGCTCCGTTGATGGTAGCGTCCAGACTGCCGCATATACTCAATATACTGCATAACATGCACATTCACGATCAATGGGGATCAACGATAAGTTTATCATACGATACAACTGTCAACGATTTTGTCGCACCATTGTGCAAAAGATAACACATACTTTCTACCAGTACGTAAACGAAAAAAAAATGCCAACACTTACAGAATAATTCAAACTGTGTCGAGCTTGAACGTAATCACTGCTGGTTATTATTCACTAATCTTAATACAATCTTTTGTTTTTGTTTTTGTTGAATCGTCTGTACGAAAAGTGTAAAAGGTAGAATTCATTTGACTTAATTCTTGGCTGCTTCCCTAATGTCTTTCCGAGGGAATCTACAGAAAGTTTATAACATACTCAAAAAACACCGGGAAATAACCAAAGTGATAAATGATTTTTTCTAAGAGGTTATCAGGAACGGAAACAAAGACCTTGCCAAGTCCTTCATTTATACTTCAAGATTTATCGATAAAATGTTGTCATCATATTGTAAGAAATGTATCGTCCACGACGGGCATACCAAGCGACTATCCTGAACTTGAAATCAAGAACACTTTTAAATCTTGTGGCCGCTAACACATTTCTTATCTTACATTATGACTTATATATCNTATAATAAATGGGTCGAACTATTGTTCTATTGTGAACTGTTCAATATTTGATAGTTACATCCCGGCTTTTAACACTTTCGATGTCTATTCCACAGTTTCCTCCAGAATATCAAACTTACTTACAAAAATGGAAAACATTGTGTCGATAGCCGTAAGTTGATGAACCCTATAGGCGGTTGTGACGATCGCCATCATGACTTCATTCGGAAATGTTCTGCTTCCTTATGCGATGTGAATATTGTTTTGTTATTATTCGTATTTCGTTTATCCCTATTCCTTATCAAGAATGGATGTGACAATGCTTCGATTTTACTGAAACAGACATGGCAGGTGTTGTCGATGAAGTAGATCAGCACACTTTAATATAAACATTGCCGAAAATTTGAGAGATTTTTTTATTTAAAAACACAATTTAAGTAACCTTGTAAATAGATCTATTTTCTTGTCATCATTCAATTTTTGCAACGACGATTTTTGCGATTATGCGTCAAACGACTGATTGAAGTCTTGACTCAAAATAGCAAAAACACCTCCCTTGTTGGAGTTTTCATTGCGAAATATTAGCCTCGAGAAACTTAATTAAGGTTGATAGAATATACTGTATGTCATTTAAACGTTGATATATAATATATAATATATACTTAATACTGGATTAAATAATATATTTTATTTATTGAATTTATAATGTTTGGCAAAGACGCATCCAAACAATACTCCGCGGAACTTTGTGCTGAATAATATATATAGTAGATATGTTACGAACAGTTCCAGGCATTCTGAAGCTATGCAACAAAGTATAGTATTTGGTTTTAGCAAGTTGTATTATTACACAAATACTTTTAGATTTTCATGTCCTGTGCATTGGGAGTTTTCTCTGTTCCTGTAGAATTTGAATCATTTTTATCCGCTTTCTCATTCTCTGCCAAATATAGAACAGCTTCATATTCCTCGGTTTCTTCACTTGACCATTTTTTCAACGAACGAACTTTATAAAATGCGAAAGACAAACAACACATTCCCGCAAACATATAAATAAGAGGAATCAGGTGGATTTTCAACCGGAAGTCGACATTATCGTAGAGTAAGCATGCGCCCTCCGACTGACAACTTTTTTGCCAGATCAAACAGGTGGAATCCACTACTTTCCCAAAAATAATTGGACTTGGTAAAAACCCTGAAAAAAATAAAAATATAATGCATCTTATTTAATTGAAGCTCCTTGCCAGGGTACATAATATCAAACTTTTACTTCATACACAATGTACGTATTGAGCTCGTCACAATATTTCAAGACCAACTGGTCTTTTGTCAAGCTGCGACTGAGTGAGCGATTTGTATTATATACATAACGAATTGTATATTTTATATGTCCCACGATCCGGGACGTTTCGCCTATCGACAGAGTGTTTACACAATGAATAAAATAGACTGTGATAGATTTTATAGAAAAAAAAAGTAAATTCAAATAATGACCATAATTATCAATGGTATCTATATGAAAAATTATAAAAGGTAGCTTCATTTGATAATCTGTTGAGTATAGAATGTATACCCACCCAACAACGACGAAAAGAAAGAAGACAGTCCAATGGAGGTCGATTTGTCGCGGTCCTCGACACATCTTAAATATAAATATATGGCCACTTCAACGTAAACAAAATGTTGTTTCGGTAGGAATCGGGATATTGCTTTAATTTTTTTGAAATTTGAAATAACATTTATGAGTATATTGCTTACAGGACTAATATGATTTATTGAAAGATTTGCTACCACCGCTAGAAATACATCAGTGTTAAGCCTTGTTTTATTTTCATTTTCTGTAAGAAACCCAAGGCTTATTTTCGAGCAGTCTTATTTTGGAAATAATTTAGACAATGAGTCATCGATTGCCGTTTTTCCGAGTTCCTATTTTTTGACCAAATGGTGCAATAAAATCATGTTATATTATGAATAGGTGTAAAACCATTTTAGGCCCACAGAGAAAATAATGTGGCTCTTGCCTGAAATTCAATGCATATTTTCGAGACCGGCATGTAAACACGGCTTAGAATCTAAGGCCTACTTTCAAGATTGGCCTATTTTCGAAAACCTATCTTCGAATCGGCATTTCTATCGGATTTTAGGGTACATTATTATATGTTCCCTGATAATGACGATGGTGCCCATTTTGAATTATTAGGGCTGCCAGTTTTCCTTCAATATCAGACCGATTTTTCAATCCGCTACCAGAAGCCCAATAGTAAAACAAGACCTGTGTTATGACACATTTAAATAGCTTTTCTACAGCTCAAAAACAGTCAAATGACTAGTAATTAAAAAAGGTTTATGAAGTATGACATTTTCCCGACTGTTGTCGATTTTGATATATGATTAAAGTTTACACAAGCAAAGCAATATACTAATCGTCTTACCTTATTTTTGCTATGATACTCGGTGAAATGGAAAGAGCCAATATGAATCCAGCAGCAAAACTTAAAACGGCGAAAGGATACAACATTCCACAGTCCGCCTCACACAGTCCCGCGGAGGCTCTTCCGTCCGGTATGCATGTACAGTTTACAAAATTCTGAAAAATTAAGTTTACACGGGTTAAGAAACACGAACCAAATACTTAGAATCATTATTTATCAGAATACCTCAAGATTATTAAATGTCAATAAGAAGATTTAAAAAAGATAAATTGACCACAGACCCTTTCAGACGACACAAAAAGACAGTCTATGAATTTATTTCATTGTCCCCTGGAACAGGTGTACCTCATTACAAAGGGTCTACGACCCTTTAAACTACACACAATATGTAGCATTTTAATTGACCTATAATCAATTGTCATCATCTATCACTTCCGGTTTCCCTCCTCCCAACAAAATGGCGGCCATACAAAGAAATAAAATGAAACAAATTACCTATACGTCCGTCATAGTCTACTATACACAATATCTATTATTTTAATTGACATATAATCAATTGTCATCATCTATCACTTTCGGTTTCCCTCCTCCTAACAAAATGGCGGCCAAATAAAGAAATAGAAAGAAAAAACATACCTATACGTCCGTCCTAGACTATAGGAAAGTGCTAAAGACTCGTTGTTGAGAATTTTCTTTTTATATTATATATATACATATGCATTGACTATTAATACTGTGTTCTAAGTAGGCGTCGTGTTTTTACTGTATTCGTAGACCTTCGTGATTGGAAAGAAGTTGGGAAAATCTTGTTAAGTTAAAATGCTTAAAACGTACACATGTACATTGTAGGTGATTAGATACTACAGAGTTGCGCCGTTTAATTCCTACGGTTGTGTTACTATGACTGTGTCGATCAATCCGTTTTAATGTACAATGTATTGGCTCTGCAATATCTTAACCATTTGAAATACTCTACGGATGTCCAGTCAACTTGTTTTACCTACCTTTATTTAAACAAAAATGTTAAACAAATATTTTACCTACCAGGGACCATATACGTGAATATTTTACCTGAACATGCACCATCACTATTGTCTTTTAATTAGAGTGCAAAGAAGTTTTTATGGACTTATCTTAAGGACTGTAATGGATATTTTATACAATTACATTTCATCATATTTTATTCTTATGATTCTCTGTTTTATGTACATTTTGTAAATTATTGTATATTTTCTATAACTACTTGACCAAATGTAAGACGAGTCGTTGACTCAACTTTGTAATCAAGTATAAATAAAGATATTATCATAATTATTATACTTACCCCACCTTTTCCTAATGGGGATTCACACCCGGCGTAACACGGAGAATGGAAATTGACTCCATTTGACCCACAAATTGGAAAGAAATCGTCTTCTTTGCAGCCACAGTTAGATGAGCATATTGTCGAGTAATTAACAGATGGAAGTTTATCGGAATATTTACTGTAAACAAAAATAAACTACACACATTGACCTTGATACAAATCATAGTCTTGAAATACGAATGTATTTCCAATTTACAAAACAGCTAAGAACATAAATATTAGATTTGAATATTAGAACAATTTCTTTCGAATAGCAATAAGTCGCTCTGTTCGCCATTTCGTTTCCTCTACAGCTATTTACATACATTTTCTGATTTTTCTTAACAATTTTTGTTCACCTATCCTCTCTCAAAGTATATCAAACGAATTATTAAAGTATACCAGTATACGAACATTTGTATTATTGCCTTTTTAATGTTTTCACAAAGAAACCATGACAAAAAAGTTGATTTTAGGGAAATTATCACTTGATGGGTTTTTTTCAACACTGAAAAATACTTTTGTAAATATTTTTTTTGTCATTAAGCGTCATTCAGTTTATAATTAACTTTTATATTTTTCGAGCGATAATTTAATTTTAAGTGGGATATCCGGGTATTGAAATTGCATAACTTGTGTACTGGTTTTGGTTAATTTAAGTGTGGATCTCTTTATTTCAAAACTGCTGTACGTTAAACACGTCTAAAATAATGATAAACACACTCCGGACTCTTTTCTGTTGGCCAATAAAGGAAATCAGCCCTACAATTATACTAAGTCGTGCCGAATTTTACAGACGGTATTGATGTTCTACCTATTCGGCCCAATTATTTCTGGTTGATCACACCCAAGCAGCAATCCACCAGCAAAGAGAATCATGTTAACAGCGTGAAACGCAACAAGTATTCCAAGCGTCTTACAAGGCGTGAGTTTGACCCGTCGGGAAATTAAACCGCCAAAGAAGGATCCGAGAGCAACGGACGATATGTTGGCGAAAGCTATTTAAAATATAAAAAATGAAATTTTCGTAAACGAAAGCTCTATCCCCTACACTAGTGGTATCAAGGATCTCCACAATGGAACATTAAAGGACATTGGAGAAATGGAATATCTTCCTATTAACATTAAAAACTGATAGGCCATACGTATGTAAAACATTATCTTTCTCGTACGAATAGCACTTAAAATAGAGAGTCCAAGGGCTCTTTTTTGTATTTCTAACGAAGAAGACATCCATGATGATCGGCATTTTTATGTCTTTGAGTTGCTTTCCCATTTACTTTAGCAAAAGGAAACAGGGTTCAAAGGGACGACCCCTGTCCGCCACATTAGTTGCCTCTAACAAAATATAATAGGTTACAGCAGATTTATTCTTTTCTCAATCCTCAACCTGCAGGGGTGCAGCTAGTATCTACCTACATTAGGGTGAATTTAAGTGTATATACATTTATTTACCGAGAGTGATGTTGGCCTGCCAGAGAGGGATGCTGAACTGCGTGTGTATATACTTGGAGAGGAATGCGTAATACCCAGCCCTGCCACCCATATCAAGCGTTGTGCTGACCATCTGTGCCATGTAGACTGGGTTTTTCACTATTCGCCAATACGACAAGGCTCCCTCTGTCGATCAGATACAGGAGGCGACTTAGTATGTTGAAAAGTGTCAGTAAGATGCAACAAGCTCAAGCAACAAGATGATACATAAATTCGAATAATTTCGATGTAACAACGTTTTTCATTGGTCACAACCCCGGGGTTATTGGAAATGAACAATGAGCGTGATACGCAATGCGCTTTAATCCCATATGTAGATCTCGCCTCTGTATCAGTCAGATAAAAATGCATTTTTTACATTTACCTCCGAAAACAAGTATCAAGATATATTGTATTATGGTGGGAAAATACAATTCAGGATACGATTTGTTTGGGAAAAATAATCTGAGGGCAATCTTCGCCGTTCTCACCATCATTATATATTCAAATATACTTTGAATCAGTACATGTGTTGATTATTTTAATAAAACAAGACTACAGCACAACCAAAACCATTAGCATCATGAATTTAAAAGTTAAAAATATTCAAACGAATGGACAAAAAGACTTTTTGCATAATTATATAAACAATACTTTTTTAAGAAAATATATTTCGTCAATAAACGAATGCCTGACTTGAGCTATAGGATCATAACTCAAATAATAAAACTACTTATTTCTTATAACTAGTTTTGAAATTTCTCTCTTTTATATTTCTCGTTATTTCTCGTTTGAATTAAATTTCCCACTTTACGGTAAGAGAATTGAAATAGAATTTTAACATAACCAAATTAAGTTACATTGATCTGATTGTAGCTTTTCGCTCGGCGTGCTAATATTGTGCTTTTAGGAAATGATTTATTAATAAAACTTTTTCCACATATACAAAATTGAACTGCGGAGTATAGGTAGTTAAATATATATAACATTTTAACGGCCTTATTAGACGACATATTTTCGTACCTTTTATTTTTTCCTTTCGACTCATTTCTGATCGTGCCTTGCCTTCAATTTTAAGCGCCGGCTGTTTTTTCAGGTTCCTGGGAAACAGGACGAGCGGGAGGGAAAAGATAATGCTACAAGCACCAAATACTAGGAAACCCATCCACCACGCCCCGACCCATCGCGGGTCGCGTGGTGACATATCAACATCTGCAACAAAAGCATGGGAAAAGTCAAATTCTTATTGATGTATATTTTTCTCCAAAGGTGAACAAATAATTTATGTATCGACATGGTTTTATTTTCATTTCAATCTGGCATTATTTCGTTATTCAATATATACATTCATTGAATAAGATTTTAAAGTTAAAGTTCTCATGACAATTTACATTAAGGCAACAACACACCTAACTAACACAGCTGCTTATAACAGTTTACCATTTCTTTATTCTGCTTTGTATTTCTTTTCAGAAATGTTTTATGAAAGCCAGTGTGCAAACGTATATGGTTGTTTTCAATATCGTTTGACTGTTTAGTTTGAACAAAATCTGACTTTAAAATAGAGAGATGTGTCTGTTTTATCTTAACAACGCATGCATGTAATGTTACTCTTGGATCTTATTATAACTAGATTCATGTAAATAAAATAAACGGTTGCTCCCATCCTTTTTGCTTGTAACAAAGACACAAATTGCATTAATAATTTGCATACCTTCTAATGTGACGTAGACTCGACTCAGCATCCCTCCAAATATATATCCCAGTACAGGACCACAGATCGCTAATGCCACGATGACACCTTGTGAAGAAATCACATGTATCAGTTACAGTATTAAAGAGGATGGACAAGGTGGTCGATTTTCTTCATGCGGATCGGTTTGTACGCAAACCATGTTTGACCGGTTGTTTGTTTGGTATTTAACGTCCCCGCAACAGTCAAAGTCATATGGGGACGGGTGCATAGCGCGACACTACCAGAAAAGGAAGANCTTACCCCCTACACCCACCATCCTCTTACCCACTACACCCTCCATCCCTTTACCCCCTACACCCTCCACCCTTTACCCCCTACACCCACCTACACCCTCCATCCCTTTACCCCCTACACCCTCCACCCTTTACCCCCTACACCCACCATCCCCTTACCCCCAACACCCTCCATCCCCTTACCCACTACACCCACTATCCCCTTACCCCTTACACCCTCCATCCCCTTACCCCCCACACCCACCATCCCCTTACCCACTACACACACCATCCCTTTACCCCCTACACCCTCCATCCCCTTACCCCTACACCCTCCATCCCCTTACCCCCTACACCCTCCATCCCCTTCCCCCTACACCCACCATCCCCTTACCCACTACACCCACCATCCCCTTACCCCCTACACCCTCCATCCCCTTACCCCCTACACCCTCCATCCCCTTACCCACTACACCCTCCATCCCCTTACCCCCTATACCCTCCATCCCCTTATCCCCTACACCCACCATCCCCTTAATTTCGTTACTGTAGCAAAGTTTGGCAAGTCGGGTTGCTAAGTAAGTTAAACCGATAGCATAACAACGTGAAATTCAGGGATGGAATACCGGTCTAGCCCCGCTATGCACTTGTAACACTGTTGTTGGTTTTATTTCGCTTATTTCATCTTTATTTTTATAAGAGCCCCGAAAGGTATGGGTGTTTTTTTAAAACTGATCAATCGAAAGTAAATTCATGTCCGAAAACACAGTTCCCAATGTGTGTTTACAGTTTTTTGCACCGATACGGGAATTTTAAGTGACATATAACTAAAATAAAATGCTTCATTTGATTTTTATATCAGTAAATTAATAAACACAACCACTATCTTTGTGATAATACTACTGTACAATTACTTCCGTTCGTCATTACCATATCATCCTCGGTACTCTCTGCACTCCTGGAATATGTCATAGCAAACTGAAGGCATGATTACTTTTTTTTATTGGTCTCGGGTAAAATACTGATCAATCAGTTGACTGATACCTGTCCTTTGAATATTACAGAAGAAGGACATCCGACTGCAAAGCCGGTCAATTTAATCGTTACTCTACCGAGCGGTTCTTTTTATGTAATGAAGCTTTAAATGAACTTTACTTATATCATCTACCAGTAACCTTCAATTTGGTCATGACATATTCCAGGGATGCATAAAACGTTAGTGAGCGTATTCCCTGGTGTATCGAAGCTATTATGATATATGGAGACTGGCAACGTTATAAATTGTACAAACATTAAACTTTAACAGAGCAAATTATGTGTAGCATGTACGTGTGGTTAAACCAGGTAGTTATTAACACCTAAACAATATGCCAACACTATCATGTATTTATAAGAGTATCATCTTACCCATGTAGAAACCTGTCCGGCTTCGTTTACCGTTGTCGTCTACGTAGACAGTGACAAATGGACCCCTCAAAGATTTACCGACACCCTGTAACATCATACCAATCCCGAAAAACGCAAGAAACGTCTGTCTGATCCCGTCATTAACCATTTCTATTCCGGACGCTTGACCATCATTTTCAGCCATGCATGCGCCAGATGTGATATCAGACCCGTTAAAAAACGGGTCACACAATGGAATGTTTTGCGAAGAAGACATGGCGGGTTTACTGCCGTTGTTGTCAAAATTAAGTGGACCAGAGGTCACGAACTGAATGCTGTTACTTGCGAGGCTGATAAAATGGGGGACACTACAAAGAATCCCAGAGATACCATAAAGAACAAAAGCTGCAGACAAGATGAGTGGAATATGTACGTACTTCGCTAACGAGCTAATGAAAAGAATGAAAACGAAGTAACCAATGTCATTAAAACTCATAATCACCCCACTGTAGCTACTCTTCAATCCGTACTGCCTCTCTATACTAGGAATTTGTGAACCCAAATATGACGTCATCAATGACGTCATAACACCAACAACACTATAAATGCCAATAAACGATTGAATATTGGCAAATTTCTGTAGAGAGTCTGGTCGACAGGGTCCAAGTCCACATTTCCGAGCATCTGGATTATCACCGTCTTCCTCCATTAGGACCAGGTTAGCTTTGTCGAAAACATCCACACCAGGCGATGATTTCTTGTTCGTGACGTCCATATTATCTGGATTCATGTAAAAAGCATTATAAATATTGTTGATGTGTATATGGTCGCTACACCTGCACAGTTTTAGTCATCATAATGGTTAGACTATCTTGATTATTTAGATGCAACAGTTTAGTTACACGCTCGGTGGAATGTCTGTCTTAAATTGTTTATCCTATTCCACAATACAAAAGATATTAAAAAGAAAATGACTCCTTCATCTACGTTAGTGTAATAAATTTTGATTCTAGATCAGAGGCAGTTTGATACAGAATGGCAGCATCTATGGTCTCTCGAGTTTTTATTCCAAGTTCCATCAAAACTAAAACCTTGTTTCCGCATTAGCAGAGTCCGCAACGACGAGGTGGTTGTTCTCTTTCAGCTCAGTACTGGTCATACTTCTCTCACCCATTTTCTATATAGAGAACCACCTACATGCCTCGCATGTGACTCCACTTCGACAGTGGATCATATGTTTATAGAATGTTCAGATTTTAGATACATTCGTGATAAATACTTCCATGCAAAGGACATAAAAACCCTTTCAACTTCAGAAGACTTTGAGACAATATATATCTATATATGAGACATTGGTAAGTTTTATTAACGGTGATTCAATTAACCTACATGACCCCTTTGACGGTATTTATACATATCTTGGCATTTCAATCTTTACAAATTTTCATGTTAACCCACTTGCACTATTTTTACTTTCTAAGCCTACCCTGCTGGTGATAATATAAAATATACGACGTTTTATATGATTTTAATTTTTTATTCTTAAAATGGTTACCTAATACTAAAAGATAAATCTGACCCTAAATGACCAAAGATGTCGATGGTCCGTTAAACTCAGACAAACAAATTGATACAGAGATAGATTTTGGTAAGAGTATCCTCGTGTTATCGGTTTCCGCGCACTTAGGAGGCATCCGCGATTTCGTACTCATATCGGTAGAAAGCTGTTGAAATTACGGATGACAGTCATAGACATGTACACAATCTACTAATGGAAACAAAAAACTAGCAACATCAAATTCTATTTTTTTAAAAATCAGATTCAACAATTTTTAACAAATTTCTCCCGTCGGAAGTAGCCGTCATATGTTTCCGTGTGTCTATTCTGATTTAGTGTTCAAAGAACGATAACCCGTATACACTAAAAATACTAAATCCTTCATAGTGGCCCGCACGAACAAAAGCTTCGTTTGGTATATAAAAAATATCTTTAAAATCAAAACAGATTTTTAAAAATTTCACATCTTTTATGGATTTTTTACGGAGCCCCTTAACTGACATACTACACACTAATTTTATTTCGTTTAACGAAATAATATTTCGTTATAACGAATTATAATTTCGTTTTTTCGAAATATTATTTCGTTATTACGAATTATCATTTCGTTTTATCGAAATAGTATTTTGTTTTTTTGAATTAATATTTCGTTATTTCGAAATATTATTTCGATAAAATGAATAGTTATTTTGTTATAACGAATTATTCTTTTTTCAATATGTAAACTCGAACGAATTCATGTATTTTATAAATTTATTTATTTTATTTATTCAATTATAAAAGAATCTGTTATTATTTTTGTTGGGCAGTCTTATACAGTGTATCGGTATTGGTTAATGGTAAGTTATTTCTCATTTTATTCTGTTTATAATTCGTGAAAATTGGAAGTTCATTGCATTACAAGGTTTATATTTCATTGCAAACAGTGTTTATCGATATAAGAATGTCTCCTTTGCTCTTTGGAAGTGGAAATAAATCGGCGGGGAAATGTGGCCTCATTTACATACGACATTGTCGTACGTTTGTCAGACTTTAAAAAAGATCGGTTCATGAATGAAATATATCACTGTCTTTTTAGGTATGGGTTCATTTTGAGTAAGATAAAAAGTGCATTAAGCAAAATTGCATATTTATGCGTGTTTTTTAATTAGTTATTAACTCTAATGTTTTCCGGACGAACATCCGGTAATTTTTGTGTCAGTTTACAGAAGATGGCTAAACGTCTAAAATATCTTTGTGTAGTGTCCAGCAAGTCACGTAGTAACGAGATATAGCTTGATGAAATTGCTGTACGGAAATATATAACGCGCGGAAACCTATGACTAGACGACATCTCGAATATTCTGCTTCTTTGACCAGTGAACAAATGAAAAATGTCGCGTAAGTTTCTAGTTTCTGTTAGTTAAGCCTTTACCGAAGACAATTTGACCGATTGTCGAAAGTCAGAGAAAGTCTTCTCCGTGTAATTTGTCTCTTTATCACGCACTCGTAAATATATTCGTCCGCGCAATAAACTCGTGCTTTCTGATTCGTTAGAAAAACACAAGTGTGTGGTCTTGCATATTGATCACAAGGATGTTTTACTTTTGTCCAGATTATGGTACATCTTACATTTTGAAATAACGAGAGAGTAAATTCTTTTAATGGAGGATACCAATATAAACCACATTCTGAAATATCTTCAGTCTGAAAAAAATGTGAAACACTTGATTCGAAATAATCAGTATAGATGTAAAATATGTTTTGGACTTTGATCAAACACTATCAACAAAGTATTGAGTATTTACATTGGTGGAGATAGTATATGTTGCTTTAACTGCTTCAGCAGATTATGCCTAAAATAGATGAACGTAACATTTGGTTTGTTTGTGTTTTACGCCCTGTTAACAGCTATGATCATTTAAGGACGTTCCAGGTTCTGGTCGTGGAGCAACCACCTACAGACGGCCAGTACCTGGCGACTGCCGCACGTAGTCCTCGAACCGGCGACCCAGTAGTGGAGGGCTAGTGGTAACAGAATGTCAGATACTTGACCACTTAGCCACCGCGACCTCTTGAACGTAACACACATACACTGGTGCACAGATATAGATACAGTATGCCAAAATGAATTACATTGCACCATATAACTGTTTCAACCTTCAAGGACTCATCGGTGGTGCTTGTGGCCAAAACAAGTGGAAACCCGTACTGTTCTTAACTACTGTTGACACAGAAGGGGGGGGGGGGGGGGGGGGGGGGGGGATTAAAACTCTAAAATTTACGAATTTAGCAATCTGGAAGAGTGCTGGTTTAATTTCAATTAATTCATGACGTGTGTATATCATAAACCGTGCCACTACAAGGTAATATAACTGTCGCCATCAACGTTACAGCTAACTAAAATAATTCACCAGGAGAGTCTACCACCTGCTATCTTGATAAGTTTACTAAATACACACATAGACATGTGATAATAAACATTTGAATTTGATTAGAAATACCATTAAGCAATATCTCTTAATTGTAACATCATTATGTATATTGTGTTGGGGGGGGGGGGGGGCTGTTTTGCCATACTCATACATAAAACAATTGAAATATGACAGTTTATACGTACTTATTGATAATAACTTTCTTAATAGTTGATAAAATAAATCACAACTTACAATGACGGATGATATAGAACCTCCTTCAGCTGGATTTTTCTATGATCTGGAGTTACGTTAATACGTTCTTAGATTTGACTATATCATTATTTGACTTATAATCCAGGTGTCCTACATTAACACTCCAGGCCGAGTCATTATGCTTCCCCACGTTTCTTGTATAATACACACGGTGGTTAGATAATGCTTTAGGTCAGTTAAGTTCAATTTAAGTTCATCTAATTAAAATGGAAAGAATAACAGCATGAACGCACACCCCTAAGGTGAAAGGTGAATGTTGACCAGACTTTACCAAACTTGATGGTATGGCAGAAAAATCTTTCCCCATCCCTACCCCGAGGAAGACTCGGTTTTTTGGTTGTCTGTTTAACCTGAGGCCGAGGGAGCCGCGGTATCCAGGAATCCAAGATTCTCCTTTAAAGGGTTGATATTTATCTTTCCCAATATAAAGATAGTATTTAATTATCTCCTTCTTCTCTCTATTGTAAAGAAATGACACACAGAAAATAAAATAATCAACCAAGGATGGGGAATTTCTCTTTTGCACCCTTAAATAACGGGATGATTATTTTTCTCAAATCATTACAATGCAATGTTTGAATACAATATATTTAAAATTCATATCACCAAACCCTCTCCCGTCAACAGCTGATTGTGACGTCACTGCTGATTAATCCTTGATGTCATAGTATTTATTTCTGTTCACGCGCTATCTGTAATACCCTGTAGGGTGACTGAGTTAGGGTATTAGATTTGTGTGACGTCACTTCAACAATACAATGACATTAACGTCACATTAATGATACATTGAGCTTGTAAAGACAGCGTTGAATCATGTCAATAACAGGTTCAACAGGTTAGGAGAAAAATAATCATTCCCCTCTTTGAGTTGGGATAAGGAAACGGTCGGAAACCTTGTGTTTGGCAACTTTAGAAAGCCCACCTCAGACTGATATAACCCTAGTCCGAATTATTCTGACGTTTTATCGACTTTTTTCATATCGGTCAGTCGTCGATTAACGTCAGAACTCCGGCCCTCTATAATATGCGGGAAATATGCGACCCGCGCCCGGAGCGCACTTCAAACTGTTATTTTAGAAACAAATCGTCACTTTCACACACATGACTCTCGTTTTTTGATAGCCCCGCCTTCTAATGCCAAGTGACTAAAATCTCGCCGGCATACGTCATAACGTTTGGAAATACCTTCGGTAACGCGAGATCTCGTCAAGTCATGTGACATTGCTCATGGCCTAATTTCCATTAAAAACATGGGTTGGTATAGAAAACGTTGGAAAATACTTTTCGTAATGATCTTTGAAATATGTTATTGATACCACCTAGTGCATAAAAAATAGATCTTTCGATCCATGTGCGATATGTGTGTGAAAGTGACGATTTGTTTCTAAAATAACAGTTTGAAGTGCGCTCCGGGCGCGGGTCGCATATTTCCCTCATATCATAGAGGGCCGGAGTTCTGACGTAAATCAACGACAGACCGATATGAAAAAAAGTCGATAAAACGTCAGAATAATTCGGACTAATATAACCCTATCTCACCCCCTTGTGATCAACGATTCTATCACTCTTACACCGTATGTGGCACCCGGCATTTCTCCCGTCAAAGCGTGAGAGAAATGTAGATGGTTATATTTCTACGACATAGTGAACAATTATGTTATCATGGTATATACTGGAATGTCATTGTTTTAATAAGTGCATGGTGACAGCTGATATAACAATGTTTCAGGTCATATGAACGACTAGATTCGGCTACGTTTGGTTAAACCCTGTAGACAGATAAACAATAAATCTGATCTAAATCGTGTCATGTTTTAGACCAACAAGTATTTGGAATTCTGTTTGGTATTCTGTTATTTTAGAAATATATATAAAACCTGGTCAATAAGTAACAATTGAAATAACAGCTTAAGTTTCACTTATTATAATATAATGTATTGAAAATATTATTTTAATAAAAAGAACAAAGCATTAATTCAACATATAATCAATCGTGAACACTTTTTTAAATATTATCCATAAAGAAAAGAAAAATGATTAAAAAAAAACCGGCAGCAAGACAAGCGCCCGTAAAACTTACATTTTCGGAACACCTGGGCCCGTATTCATAAAACCGTTCTCATACTCAAGCATGGATTTTGTATTCAAGCCTAATTTCTTGTTCCGGTTATAAACTTAGTCCGCAATTATGATTTTAGTGAATAACAATAAGCTGGGTTGCGCACAGAATCCGTGTTTGAGCATGAGAACGGTTTCATGAATACGGGCCCAGGTGTTCCGAAAGGGTAAGTGTTATGAATGTGGCCTGCTGTTTAATAATAACAGTCCGGTTTTCAAAAAAATGTAAATCGGCAACTGTCATTTGATATTTAGGACGCTTTATATGATATGTATCATCACCAGCTGATGGATCTGTCACTTTTGGATTTGTTTTAACTTTGGTTCGTATTCCAAATACTACGTTTAAATTGCTTGTAATATTTTATTAAACAAATAAAATTCAATAGTAAAAAAAACTTCATAAAAGAAAACCAAGGTTAACTTTGCCTAAACCCCGGTAAGTGTGTGCAAGCAAGTTCTCAGCTTCATAAAAACACGACGGCATACTTAGTAGTTCAATGTCGTAGTAGATACCACAGATAACATATTCCCCTTGTCCACTTAAAAAGATTGTAGATTGATTCGAACAGGAACACAGTGTGTGCGAGCGCATGTCAACACCTGCATAAAAAACTACTTTGTCCAAAGTCGGAGAGATAACAATGATAAATCCCTAGTCCACAAATGCATATGTAGCTTGGTTAAAACTAGAATTTGACGAGAACATCTCTCGGGTGACCAACTGGATCGTTGTTGTACTTCTATGCAGTGAACTCTGTTTATGTATTCAGCAATGCATATACGTTAAAGATTATAAAAGGATCGCTTATAGCTCATTTGTGAAAGATATGCCTCTCTGTCCTTTGTAATTACTAATGAAGCAATAAAACAATGGTATATGGAAACAAAGCACTATACTTACGACAACGGGTGTTATAGAACACTTGTGCTTGACTTCTTCTGATTATGAAGTACGAATACACATTTCATATTTTATAAGGTATATCATACAGTTGATATCTAACCGTCCTAATCATGATGCAAGTCCACGCCTGACCACGCCTGGACTCTGTAACACGGCCATGTTGAAATGGTAGTGAGATAACTTTTAACATACCTTAGTCATGAACTGGACACTCTATTCAATACTACAATGTGACCGGTACCTCAAGTGGCAAAGGAAATGTTTACCACTATTGGGTTAATTGTATTGTTTCAGGGTTTTACATGGAATTAGTTACGGACCCACACATAAACGATAGTAAATCTAGCTACTCCAGAATGGTCAACATTGCCACCATTTTTTTTAAATAGTAGACATAATTAAAAAGGGGGATATAGATCCCCAGTATTGCTATGAGGACACCAAACTTGTTTTGGTTCTTCCACTATCCCTTAGCATTAGACACAAAATAAAAATAAACGATTATACAGCTGTGCCTCATTAGTCGCCTCTCACAAATTCCCTCGGACTCGTGGGGGGATGCTAAACATCTATACGATGGCGGTAGGTCGAATATGACGATGCTTACAATTTTATGCTCAGAAGAGTAGAATGACCGATCTTAGAATTACTGTCACCTCCTTTATTTTATTTATTAATTAGATTTTTATTTTGTTCCTTTCAAATGACCATTAGTGTCATACTGTAGGTAAAATTGAAGATGTGTTGGAATACCTCGATTCTACTTGTTAATTGCACTTACTACAACATACAGCGGGATAATACAGGCTTATTTCCCCCCGAACCTGCAACGATCTAAAAATACATCCGTCTGAACTTACAGTGAACAGGTAATATACTTTTCCCTGTCCATCAAAATGTTTCATCCTATTTTTTGTTGATATGATGTCGTTATTATCTGCTGTGACCACTAATAAACCGATAACAGTACCTGGTGTTGTATATACGGATGTATCACGTATTTGTCATTTTTAAATAACAGAAGCAACAACCGTTCAAACTATATCAATAGAAATGTTCGCAGTGTTAAAATGCTTGCATTTTTTTGCAATGAGTAACTTAGCGCGAATATTTATGTATATAATATTAGATTACAGAACTATAGCTTAGCGTGAATATTTATGTATATAATATTAGATTACAGAACTATAGTTTAGCGTGAATATTTATGCATATAATATTAGATCACAGAACTATAACTTAGCGTGAATATTTATGTAGATACTATTAGTTTACAGAACTATAACTTAGCGTGAATATTTATGTATATAATATTAGCGTGCATATTTATGTATATAATATTAGATTACAGAACTATAGCTTAGCGTGAATATTTATGTATATAATATCAGATTACAGAACTATAACTTAGCGTAAATATTTATGTAGATACTATTAGATTACAGAACTATGACTTAGCGTGAATATTTATATAGATAATATTAGATTACAGAACTGTAACTTAGCGTGAATATTTATGCATATAATATTAGATTACAGAACTATAACTTAGCATGAATATTTATGTAGATACTATAAGATTACAGAACTATAACTTAGCGTGAATATTTATGCATATAATATCAGATTACAGAACTATAACTTACCGTGAATATTTGTGTATATAATATTAGATTACAGAACTATAACTTACCGTGAATATTTATGTATATAATATTAGCGTGCATATTTATGTATATAATATTAGATTACAGAACTATAACTTACCGTGAATATTTATGCATATAATATTAGATTACAGAACTATAACTTAGCATGAATATTTATGTAGATACTATAAGATTACAGAACTATAACTTAGCGTGAATATTTATGCATATAATATCAGATTACAGAACTATAACTTACCGTGAATATTTATGTATATAATATTAGCGTGCATATTTATGTATATAATATTAGATTACAGAACTATACCTTAGCGTGAATATTTATGTAGATACTATAAGATTACAGAACTATAACTTAGCGTGAATATTTATGCATATAATATTAGATTACAGAACTATAACTTAGCGTGCATATTTATGTATATAATATTAGATTACAGAACTATGACTAAGCGTGAATATTTATGTTTATAATATTAGATTAAAGAACTGAAACTTAGCGTGAATATTTAAGTATATAATATTAGATTACAGAACTATAACTTACCGTGAATATTTATGCATATAATATTAGATTACAGAACTATAACATAGCGTAAATATTTATGTATATAATATTAGATTACAGAACTATAGTTTAGCGTGAGTATTTATGCATATAATATTAGATCACAGAACTATAACTTAGCGTGAATATTTATGTATATAATATTAGCGTGCATATTTATGTATATAATATTAGATTACAGAACTATACCTTAGCGTGAATATTTATGTAGATACTATAAGATTACAGAACTATAACTTAGCGTGAATATTTATGCATATAATATCAGATTACAGAACTATAACTTACCGTGAATATTTGTGTATATAATATTAGATTACAGAACTATAACATAGCGTGAATATTTATGTATATAATATTAGCGTGCATATTAATGTATATAATATTAGATTACAGAACTATAACTAAGCGTGAATATTTATGCATATAATATTAGATTACAGAACTATAACATAGCGTGAATATTTATGTATATAATATTAGATTACAGAACTATAGTTTAGCGTGAATATTTATGCATATAATATTAGATCACAGAACTATAGCTTAGCGTGAATATTTATGTATATAATATCAGATTACAGAACTATAACTTAGCGTAAATATTTATGTAGATACTATTAGATTACAGAACTATAACTAAGCGTGAATATTTATATTTATAATATTAGATTACAGAACTATTGCCAACGGGGAAACTTCCACGCCGCGATTAGTATAAAAATTCACAACGTGAATGTTTCCACATGCGGGAGTTGTAAGCAGTCCTATTCCATTTATGTGCTGTCGATACTTGTTATTCAAGACACCATTGCCCAGGTTATTAACAATCCAGCGAGTTTTTAGAAGACTGATTGACCTCAATCTATAGAAAATGTCCATTCATTTCACAATTAAGTACCTTTTGCTTGGAACGTATGTGACTATATCATAATTATTCCATCGTTTTTATAAACGAATTCTAATTAACTCTATTCCTAATTGAAAGCTCCGATTCATCTCTATGGCCAAATACGACGCAATATCAAGTCAAAATTCCGTATATCGACCGTTTCAAGAAAACCCTCTTTACATTTGGGCTGAAGATAAAAGATAATACATTCGTAGAAATCCTTATTTCTTAATGGTTAAGAAGAATTTTTGAGAGACTAAATGCCGAAAATGATTTCCAATATTTACAATCGACTTGCTTTTTAGCCGTGTCACATGCTTTAAGCGAGTTGCAAGAGAGCTGGTTTGCTTCAGCATGAGAATTAAATATTCCCGCGGTTCGGAGTATAGAGGGAATTATTTGTCTTCTCTGGCACGAGCGGCACGTGCGCCCAGTTGGCCGGTGTACTCGTGGCGTACACGGGTTGAGTTCATTCTCTAGCTGTCGTTCTACCAGTGCGGCCACACACAAAATGGAAGAAGATCTTCGGACTCAGGTATCTGCGCAGGTTTCAGCTTAACTACATAGTGCACTTAGTACCTCGCAAAAGGAGATGCTATCTCACTTGGACAATTCAATTTCTTTAAAATTGAATTCCTTTGAAAAGAAGTTGAATGATAATTCCGAAAAAATACAGCAAACTATCCAAAACACGGACACCTACAAGTTCAAGAGCAGGATTTGTGAGGAACAGCATAAGTTCAACGGGAAAGTGCGGGCTAAAATAGCGGAAGCTGCTAACACCGCGACTACGGACGGTGATGCCACCATAGTTTCTATTGAGGAAGGTATGGCTATAATAGACTATCGCAATAAGCTTGTAAAGTTAGCCGACAGTTCAGAGGGCGGTTGGAAAACTGTGGACGAATATATACTAAACCCCATAGCGTCCGACTCCGAGGACGAGAAGAAGATGGACCTGGCCCAAACCAGAGCTAAAAGAAAAGCTAAAGTTTTAAAAGCTAAATCGACCAGGGGCAGGTACGCTCCGTACAACTGTGCTGCGACAGCAACGAGACCCCCCGCCAACGTTAACGTCATCTCAACGCAGGAGAGGAACAATAGACCTCCCCGGAGCGGTTTCAGGCCGGACATGCTTTGGGTGCGAGAAGATGGGCCATTGGAGACAGAGTGTCCGGGAGCCCCAGGGGCCACAGTAAATACGCCGGGCTATAAGATAAGATAAGTTTTTATTAGACAGGGGTTCGAATCGTTCACCGGGAACAAGGTAATTAGTGTGGACGAGATTTCGTCCCAGCCTGTACAGGTCAGAGGTCAGCACGAAGATGCGGTCGATTCCGATACTCATAACGGTAAACGTTCGGACGTCGAGAGTTTCACCGGTTGGTAGATTAAAAGGTAACATACGGCATCGGTTGGACAAAGGTACTAACGAGACGGTACAGTCAATCATCGACAGAGGGTATAAAATTTCCATTCAGGGAGATACCACCTGATGTGCACATGCATAATAACAAGTCGGCACGAGATAACCCCGAATTCGTCGTGACAGAGATTAAAATATTATTTAGACTGGGTTGCGTCTCAGAAGTCCCGTTAGGTACCCGGGTCACAAATCCGTTAACGGTAGCGTACAATAGATCCGGTAAGCCACGTCTCGTCTTGGATTGTAGGCACATTAACCCGTTCTTGCATAAATTCAGATTCAAATACGATGATGCTTGAGTAGCTAGGGAAACGCTTCAAACAGGCGATTATCTGTTTACGTTTGATCTCAAATCGGCATATCACCATATTGGGATTTTCCCCGAACATCGAACTTTTTTTAGGTTTCGAGTACGCAATCGATGGCAAAACGCTAACATTCGTCTATAATGTTCTCCCTTTCGGTATAGCGACGGCGGTTTACGTATTTACCAAAGTTTTACGACAGGTGGTCAAACCATTCGCGCGTCAGGCCATATGT